AATTCTTACATTTTAAAAATGTTCAACCAAATATTTAAATCTATTGATGGAGGGACACAACTAGCTCGTGTGCAGTTTAATAGCTTTATTTTATTCTATTTCAACATGCCTGCAGAAATGGTTTAATTCACTTAAAATAATGTAAATAAAAGTTACTAAGTACTTGGCGACTACAAAAATTGATTAGAAACTAAGGCAAAACATTTACAATAAGTGGTAGAAAGATTATTATTTAGATTATCACTTGTGGGCCGGAAATATATATTGACATACTATATTTAATACATAATTTACATACTATTTACAAATATTTCCTATTTAAACTTTATATTAAAATCGTGTACTTATTTTTCAACTGATGTACTGTTTATTTAGATTATCACTTGTGGGCCGGAAATATATATTGACATACTATATTTAATACATAATTTACATACTATTTACAAATATTTCCTATTTAAACTTTATATTAAAATCGTGTACTTATTTTTCAACTGATGTAGATATTTCGAGGAAATTAGTAATACCTTAATCTACAAAGCTACACTATTTAACATTTAAATGCTAAGACCGTAAACTCCAGGATCATTTAGAGAGACATTAGGATTAACCATCCCAGACCCTGAATTAAACTATGTATTCCATAAACGCAAGTTTCTACTATATTTTCTACTATATATTTAATATTAGCTTGAAGTCAAACCCATTTCTTAGAATTGTTTGTAGTAGTTAGAATGTTCGGTTATAAGTTCGCTGTCAAAGACGTTGAGACTTCAAGACTTTATAGTGCATGAAAAAATGTATTTTTATTGAAAAATCGTGGGTTTCTTCAGAGCTAATATCCGCATATTGAGAATCAAAAATTCCACTACTTTAAATACAATCATCATATGCTGTCAAAAAACGTAAATAGTTTACAGTTTGCAACTAAAACGTTCTAAAAATCCTCTATTTTTAACAAGCCAGACACATAAATATAAAATAATTGCATTAAAAAGTAGAAATTGGATTCAATATTATTAGTTTTAGCTATTTGAATAAGTCCTTTCTATTTTCTTAAATTTCACCTAAAGCTATCTTTTCAAATTCAATTATTAAAAATGAAAATAAAAAATGTGAATTTCAATTTACAATAAATTGTTCAACATCCTCATTTTAAAATCACAAACATATATCGATTGTCAGGTTATGTTCACAATAAATAACAGCAATTGAAACTGTGAGTCGTGTGTGGCCTGAAACGTGAACAAACACGAAGAAACGCCAGCCATCAGTCATATTCAATCATGCATTCAGACAATGCTCCTGCATATATTTAAATAAAAGTCAAATGTTTACACTGCGCTACTCTGCCCTCGTTAGCTTAAGACATTGTGCGCATTGCGTATGCCGAAAAAATACAAATACAAATAAAAAAAAAAAAGAAATAAAAAAAAATAAACTTGTTAAATATTTGCATTTCTTGCCATGCATCATCACATCATTGTGTGTTGCCTCTTCAATCAATAAAATGTCAGAAATGCATTGCAGACACAGGCTACGCATGCTGCCAAACAAACGGACAGACAGTTGAGTTGAATGACGTACTGACTGGCTGGCTGAATGACTGACTGACTGAGTGACTGGTTGCTTATTTGGTTGCTTGCTTGCCTGCTTGGTTGGTTGGTTGGTTGGCTGATTTCTAGCCATGACTGATATATGGCCTGTATTGACATGGACACAGTTCTTGATTTTCATTTTGTGGCTGTTTCCTCTAAATTGTAAGGCACAGTGTGAGATTTTGACAAGTCGAGTGAGCAGAAATGTAATATTTATATTCCATCTGCAAAGTGTAAAAAGATATTATGAAAAGCAGCATCCAGTGCGAAAAGATTTGCCATCTATTATCTAACTGACTGCATATAGAAACAACATTGGAAGGCATGTTTTCTCTGGAGAGGGTTTTACATACCTCGATCCCCAAATGAAAGAAAATTGTCCACCAGACTTGCAAAAGCTGTAGAGCATATCTGTCTATATCTAGCATATCCAGCACTTAGCAGACTCAGAGTCATTGCTATAGAGAAACATTTCCTAATTGATCTCACAGATATGAAGATTTCGGAACTAGAAAAATTAAAAAGCACAAACGTGTGATTGAAAACGGAGCTATAAAGCCATCGTAATGGGCTTCTATCAGGTATCTCTCCAGGCACCTCAAAAGAAAGTAAACTTGACTAAAATGGCTATAGAAATGATATTTTATAGTCATGCAGAACTAATAAAATTATTTGAATTATTTACCTAGTTTCAGAAATGAAAAGCAAAGCTACCAATATTCTGCATTGCAAGTACCTGATTAAAAAAAAAACAATAATGGATGCTGTAGCTTATACTAAGTATGCTACAAAGTACTAATATTATTTAGAGAGTCATAATCTAAGTAATTTGAATAATAACCGTATTATTTGGATCAGTTAAGACAAATAAGAGACCAACAAATGGAACACTATTTTTATTTTGAGCGACCAAATTAATGAAATTTTGGAAACGATTTTTTCCAATTGGTTTATGACCAGAATTTGATATTTCTCTGCATGATTTACTTGTTAATCTTGCACTACAACAAAATGTTAATATACTACATTTATTAAGAAATAATAATAATTTCTTAATAGGCGTAGTATATTAACAAGTAAATCATACAGAGAAATAAAATTCTGGTGATATTATTAAAGATTTAAAGGTTCAAAAGGACAATTTTTCTTACATTTTTTTGATCGAACTACATTTTTGAAATATACTTAGTATAGTCGTATATATCATTAATTAGCTTTTCACATGCAGGAGTGTTATATTTGTGCGTAACTATTTTGTTTGCTCAGTTTTGAAATTTTCCACACTGTCCAACGGCAGCAGCAGCAGCAGCGGCAGCGGCAACCAACATCATGTGTCAATATGTCAGTCAGTCAAGCTGTCAGTCAATGTTTGCATAAGCAAAACTCTGAACGCTACTAGTATGTGGTTGCTCTGATCTCTGGCTCTGCATCGGTCTCGGCCTCTGTCCCTGTCTCTGTCCACTGGTAGCCGTCGTCCCTTTGATCACTGTGATTTGCATAACTTTCTGTGGTGTGCCGACTGTCCGAGTCCCCATCCATCGATGACGACGATGCTGCTCCACCACATGTGTGCAGACGGTGCCTATTTGCCCTTTTCACATAAATGCATACATGTACATACTCGCATGTATGTATGTATGTGTGTAATTTATTTATCTTTATTTTTTTTCAAATTGGTTTGAAAATTGCTGGCGCCTACGTCTGTCGACTGAATTTTGATTTGTTGGAAATGTTTACAAAAATATGAAAATAAATATACGGGAAGTACAAATAAAAATTTTACAAGGGAACACACACAACAACATTGAAAAGTAATTGAAGTTTTTATTCCATACAGTTACGATTTAATTCTGCTCCGACTCATGCATATTTTTGCCATTTTTAGAAAACAATCTTCGAACTTTTCAAAAATTAAAATTCACTTTGGTTTGTTTGCTTTATTTCCATTGCCGCCCACAATTTCAATTTAGATAAAATCTATATTTACCTTTTTTGCATTTCAGGCACATAGAGAAACATATCGATAAATAAATAAATAAAAACAAAAAAAGGGATTTATTTCTCTCACTCAAAACTACAAATACCACAACAAGTGACTGACCATCTGATAAGGGGCATAAGAGCCCCCAACCCATAATAAACAAATTCACGATTGTATTTACCAGCAAATTCATTTCTTATATAATTGAGCTTTCTTTTAATATGCAACAGTGGCACAATTGATTAATGAAACTTCGATTAGCTGAGGCCCTTTCCTGCTCAATCCAGCCCAACCCAACCCAATCCAATCCAATCCAATTCAATGACCCATAGCAATCAAATCACGTTTTGCATGCCTAATTTTTTCTTTACTTAAAGCAATCCGTTTGATTCATAAGTTTGGCGTTATGTGCGACATGCCAAGCGACTCTTTTCGACAGGCAGATTGATTTCGTATGCAAATTTTTACATTTATAAATACTATATACGGTACGCCAGTCATGGATTTCTAGTTTCACAGACATTATTGTACTAGAAGAGCGTTTATTATTATTCTACTATATTTATATTATCTATTATATTTTATTATATTTTGCAATTTCACTAAAATGTCTTCTCTTAGCTCTCTTAAAACATATGCATCTTGCCGGTTCACGCGGCTACATTGTAAAATATTGCAAACACGATCATTTTTGGAAACAAACTTCGTCTTCCAACTCTTTAATATTGACAATATCCTAAGCATATACGAGTATACAAACAATGATTCATAAATCTGGATATCTAACCACTGTCAAAGAGAATCAAAATATTTGAGATTCACCTTGGATTCGATATCTTCATGATACAGATTGTTTATTTTATATTTATTTATATTTTATAAAAAATTATTGTATTGTAATTCGACGCCCAAAGGAAGAACCCAAACGACGGTTCAGACTTAGTTTCAGGTTCCCCATGTAATTTACGCTCATCGCACTTAAACAGGAAGTCGACGTGTTAAAACAGGTGTGCAATCAGAAATGCAATCACTTGCAGATTGGTAATCAAACCTAAAGCCTTTTATTCATGCACACCATGTTTGGTGAATTTAATCGAACAGTACTATATATTTGAGATTCTTTTCTACATACAGTCAGATATATCGTATAATCGATGGCTCTGCTTAAACAATCAATAATGTAACTCAATGATAAACGTCTTTTATTTTTCACAATAAAAGGAAAACAAATATAGTATATCTAGCAAAATAATAACAAACTTATTTACTATTAATTCTATCAGATGGCTTCTTCTTCTTATTCTATTGCTTCATTCTGCAGTCTATTCTTAATTACATTTAACGGATTATGGTATACGAACATACACCACCTACCTTTCTACCCTATTGTTATAAAATGTATCGTAAATAATCAAAAATTATTTATGTACTATAGTATCAAAATATACAGGCATTTGTATTATCAAAATATATAAGAATAGTCAATCCATATAACAGATCAATCGGTGTAGAATTATTGAAAATTAAAACATTCTTATGCGAGACCCGCACCTTTACATAGCTTTCTTCGAGTGCAGTACGTGTATAGCTCCTATAAATGATATTGCTCGTCGACATCCTTTAGTGAAGTGAAGTGGAAATAATGTTATATTGCTTTACGAAATCCGTTGGAGAGGCTTAAGTTTATGAGCCGAAAGTACTTTTCCATTTGTTCATACATTTAGCTGATGAGGGAAAAACATTATACACTTTATAATACAGATTTCAATTGAAGTACTTACACCAATGCCGAATATGATTTCTGACCAGAAACGTGCTCCCAATAGACGCCAATCGGGAACCCAGAACTCTCCTCCAATATTGTAGTGATGAAAATCAATCGTTAAAATACGTTTCCGTTACGTATAAGTTAAGTTTACCGTATTATTCATATAGCTGTTTTTTGTTGATGTAGAGCGTTTAAATGCGCCATCCGTGGAGCAAAACAAGGGAGGTATACCTGAATAACTAGGGCAGCTTCAGATATAAAGTACTTACCTCATTAACAGTTTTAGAATCCAAGTGTGAATTGTTTCAAATGTTTCGTATATAATAAAGCATTCACAAATCTGTATAAAACTATTTAGATTAGCATTTGTCTATAAAAGAATTTTTACTTACCGTAAGGAATTTTATAACAAAACATAAAACTTTATCACTTTCCGCTTAATCTAATTAAATAACTACTTTTTGTTTACAAAATTATAAAAAACAAGCTAAAAAAACACTTTATGCTTAACCTAAGTTCGTATTAAAGTGTAACGACATTACCACTGAAAGACTGGCCAGATGTAAAAAAAAGTGTTTTCACTACAAATTTTGTTCTCGCCGATTTTTTTTAAATTTTTTTTTAAATTTTTTTTTTAAATTTTTTTTTTGTAGGCGTACTTTACTGGCTCCCTTCGGAGACACAACTGAAAATAATAGGAATTTGTTTCAGACACATATTGATATTTGAGTGAGTACTAAACGTAAGCTTGCCTCGTGTTTGAAAAAAGTTTTCAAAATTATTTTTTATATTTGAACGAAGAGCCTTTTGAAAGTTCGGAAATATACAGCCTGATTTAAAAAGAGAACGCTTTTGTAGCTTATAATAATCGGGTAAAGCAGAACGCTAGTGGTTTACAAACCACCAGGGAATATAGGAGTCCATCTTAGTCCAACGAATAAGTAAAGGACGAATATAGATATCACAAGGAGAGTTGGTTGGCAGACGAAAGGAGTTGTGTAAAGAAAATTTAGGCCGTAAGATTCCTAAAAGACGACGGAAGTCGAGTAAAATGTCATAATAATTGACAAATATATTTGTTCGCCCACATCATGTCATTTTTGTAAGCCACTAGCGTAACATAATTTTAAAAACTTTTTTCAAACAGATAGCAAGCTTACGTTTAGTACTCACTCAAATGTCAATACGTGTGAGAAATAAATTCCTATTATTTTCAGTTGTGTCTCCGAAGGGAGCCAGTAAAGTACGCCTACAAAAAAAAAAAATAAAAAAAAAATAAAATAAAATCGGCGAGAACAAAATTTCTTGTGAAAACACTTTTTTTTACATCTGGCCAGTCTTTCAGTGGTAATGTCGTTACACTTTAATACGAACTTAGGTTAAGCATAAAGTGTTTTTTTAGCTTGTTTTTTATAATTTTGTAAACAAAAAGTAGTTATTTAATTAGATTAAGCGGAAAGTGATAAAGTTTTATGTTTTGTTATAAAATTCCTTACGGTAAGTAAAAATTATTTTATAGACAAATTGCTAATCTAAATAGTTTTATACAGATTTGTGAATGCTTTATTATATACGAAACATTTGAAACAATTCACACTTGGATTCTAAAACTGTTAATGAGGTAAGTACTTTATATCTGAAGCTGCCCTAGTTATTCAGGTATACCTCCCTTGTTTTGCTCCACGGATGGCGCATTTAAACGCTCTACATCAACAAAAAACAGCTATATGAATAATACGGTAAACTTAACTTATACGTAACGGAAACGGATTTTAACGATTGATTTTCATCACTACAATATTGGAGGAGAGTTCTGGGTTCCCGATTGGCGTCTATTGGGAGCACGTTTCTGGTCAGAAATCATATTCGGCATTGGTGTAAGTACTTCAATTGAAATCTGTATTATAAAGTGTATAATGTTTTTCCCTCATCAGCTAAATGTATGAACAAATGGAAAAGTACTTTCGGCTCATAAACTTAAGCCTCTCCAACGGATTTCGTAAAGCAATATAACATTATTTCCACTTCACTTCACTAAAGGATGTCGACGAGCAATATCATTTATAGGAGCTATACACGTACTGCACTCGAAGAAAGCTATGTAAAGGTGCGGGTCTCGCATAAGAATGTTTTAATTTTCAATAATTCTACACCGATTGATCTGTTATATGGATTGACTATTCTTATATATTTTGATAATACAAATGCCTGTATATTTTGATACTATAGTACATAAATAATTTTTGATTATTTACGATACATTTTATAACAATAGGGTAGAAAGGTAGAAATAGCTTTCATATGGTGTATGTACGTATACCATAATCCGTTAAATGTAATTAAGAATAGACTGCATAATGAAGCAATAGAATAAGAAGAAGAAGCCATCTGATAGAATTAATAGTAAATAAGTTTGTTAATATTTATTCTAAGCATGGTATTTCCCATACAACCAAACAACCGGAAACTATTTCGCTATTTTGTTCACTAATATTTTAAAGAAAATTGCTAGAAATACTATATTTGTTTTCCTTTTATTGTGAAAAATAAAAGACGTTTATCATTGAGTTACATTATTGATTGTTTAAGCAGAGCCATCGATTATACGATATATCTGACTGTATGTAGAAAAGAATCTCAAATATATAGTACTGTTCGATTAAATTCACCAAACATGGTGTGCATGACTAAAAGGCTTTAGGTTTGATTACCAATCTGCAAGTGATTGCATTTCTGATTGCACACCTGTTTTAACACGTCGACTTCCTGTTTAAGTGCGATGAGCGTAAATTACATGGGGAACCTGAAACTAGGTCTGAACCCTCGGTTAGGTTCTTCCTGTGGGCGTCGAATTACCTTTGACATGTGGCGAATCGGTGGCACTCGATGAGGTAACTGGGTCCTGATAAACTGTGCTGTGCTGGGCTGTGCTGTGCTCATACACCTAATTAGCTGTAGAAAAATCTATTGAACACACAATGGACAGGGTTTCAATTTACAGGGGCCGCATCAGATAACACATATGCGCATAAGTATGTTTGTGTGTTGGTCAGTCTTTGCTTTGTTGTTTGTTGTTGTTGGCACGGCACGGCACCTTTTGTTGAAACAAATGCCAAACCGGGCGCTAATCTCTGGCATACAGATTAACACACAGAAACTAATTTTGCGTGCGAGTGGCTAACGACAAAGCCAGACATACAAACACCCATGGGCCCGGACTCGAGACGGGGCCCGGACTAGGGAGAGGGCTTGGTCAAATGACAGGCAGCCAAAAGGTCTAAATTTACGGCTTTCTGGGTAATTTGACACTTAGGACACCCAACGTATTGCAATGTCATATGGCGCAAGGGCGAAATGCGGTTAGTGGCAAGACACAGACGCCTGCCTGTAGTTGTCATTTAATTTGGGCCGACCATGAACGACATTAAATATATAGCTGGGAATTTATTGGTTAGTTAATGGGTAATGGCTACTGGGTGGTTGTATAGATGTCAATCAAATGCACAACACTTTGATGTTTTGGACTGAGACTCACGCTGCTTTGGCTTACAACCATAAATAAGGTTTCCGTTTGAAGACAAATTTTTGAATATGCAAACTAGTTATAGAAATGTACACAATATTATACAAATGAAATAGATTGCCTTATGTTCAGATTCTTGTATTGTTGGGTAGCTTATTAAAGAACAGCTGATGCGGCAACATTCGAATTACTCCAAGGTACGATTATGTCTGGAGAGCAGTCTTACATTTAAATCACACCTTACTAGCGTAATTACTGCCACTTTGAGGAAACTCTACTGGCTTTTCAAAAGCAGAAACAAACTGGCGCTGTAGAATAAAGTATTTGTGTATCTTTTCTAAAAAAAATGTTGCTCCAGCTTATCGGTTCGTATTGCAGGTTTGTGGTTTCGCAACCTAATCTAACTTTTTTAAGGTCAGGATACTGCAGGCTTAGACAACAACATTTGCGATTTCATTGGCTGTCGAACTCTGGATTATTGGGATCGTTTAAAAATCTTTCCCAGCGCACTTGTCAGGCGCCTATTGAAGCAGCGCAGAATAAGGTCAGAGAGGTTGGAAAGATTAAAATATATGCATCACACAAGCAGAATCTAATTGCGCCATTCATTTCTTTATTTAATTGGTTGAAAGTTTTGCTTTTTTAAATACTTCAATAAAAACACTGCGTCATATAGTTTTAATTTCTAAATGATGAGCTGTGGCCTTCTCAGGATAAAAATTGTTATAATACTTTAAGGTTTGAGTTAGAGTTGATGTAAAATTCCGTTTTTCGAAAATTTCCATCCAATATTTCTTTAAAATTGTGCAATAATTATCCTAATCAAAACCGTCAATTTTCGGCAGTTTGAGGCAAAATATCAATAAAAGCTAAGCTACCTAGGACCGCCATGTTTTTACAGTTGCCTTCAGGTTTCCTTTTCAAACAAAGTATTTTTTGACTTGTAAGATTATATCAACATTATAACCTATTGACCTAAAAACTAAATTCGTAAATTTTGTATATTTTATAAACACTAAAGCAAGCCTATTTACGAGCTTTAAGCAACCTTTTTTTGACCAAACTCCTAAATGCAAGTATGAGGTGCAAATGGTTGACTTATTTATAATTTAATCTCTTCTCTCCGGCCTAGTTCGAATACTTTTTCTTTTAATAAATTAAGCAAAACAATGGCATGGCAGATCAAAGAACCAAAAGACCAACAAAACGAAACCACACACATGGCAGCAACAACAACAACGACAGCAACAAGGAGAACAACAATTTCATTAGACAACTCCTAAAATATTTGCGGCTTCTTTTTCTCATATTTCAGCAAATTTCTTTAGTCTTTTTTTCCAACACAATGCCATCCATTTGTATAATCCCAAGTTATTCCGCTTGTCAACAAAAAAACAAAAAACCAAAAATAGAGAAGAGGAAGGAAGGCAACCACAGTCCTTCTCACCTTCGGGCTGCTTTGATGCTAATCACCCAAGAACTGAAATCCTGTTGTGAAAAGCGCCCGGAACACACAGTAGCAGAGGCCTGGAGGAGATTTTCACTTGAATTGCGTTATAATTTGCTGTCGGACTGCTTGTCTGTCAACTGGCTTGCCTCCTTTGAGAAATTCTAATGGAAATAATTGTTGATGCATCAAATAAGCCAAGTAAGTAGACAACAGCAGCAACAACAGCAGCAACAACAACAACATCAGGCATAAAGCTGGCCAACTGACAAAATAAAACACAAAAGATGCGATGCGTCAACCGTCAAAGTGAGAGAAAGAGGGTGCTGGCTTTACTGACAGTTCTACTTAGATTCACATTATGAGGGGTAGATAAGAATAATCGCTCAGATTTTGTCTAGCTTTCTCGTATTTCTTTGCAGCCAGGCCAGCAGGCCAGCTTGGCTTGGCTTGGCACAAATGAAAATGCATGTAACAGATTTCCGTCCTTCCAGGATTAGTAGGTAGGTCTGGTCTGGTTCGGTTCGCATTCACTTTTCACATTTCACTTGATTGTTATCACACGCAATTTTGTAATTTGATGAAAACAAACGAATTAAGATAAACATCG